GAATATTAGCTTGTGTTCATATTTTATAACAATTCATGAAAGTTTACAAATTTAATCCCATTCTGGATATAAATATTTACTGAAAACAAGTCCATATATCAGTAAAATACTGAAAAAAATAAAAATTTTGATTCAAACATTATCTCTTAATCTTAACCATCTGTCAAAGTTTCACAAATTCAATGACGGTTTGACATTTTATCTTGATATGTAAGAAACTTAAACACTGATATGCTAAGAAATGAAAACAAATGAAATTCTTTAGTTTACTCTGGATAATGTAATTTGATCACACAAAAGCTTCAGTCCGACTTGCATCACATTTCATAAAGATTTCATAAAGTTATTGATGACTGGAAAACTTTAATCATAGACTGTATCTAAATGTCAACTGTTAAAAAGTATTGGAAATTTTCAAAATGTTGCTCTTGAGAAATTATAACAAAATGTTTTTATCAAGTAATATTCAACTAAAGACTGTCAGATATCAGTATTGATGTAATGAAACATTGCTACATGTATGCTTATTGCTCAAATTCTAACCTTCCATGCCAAATTGCAAAAAAGTCATTTTAACTGTCTGTCACTTTTGTTTAGATCTAAGTGAATGCTTCACTGCAGCAAAATTTCTTATATAGGTTAGCCCTTCAGTCATATCTAATGTGGTCAAAACCTATCGAGAGGAAAAGGTATGATAAGGATACTTTTTAGGCCCTTAAATTCAAAAATCAATATGTTTCGTTAACCTATGAACTAATATCCTTCCGATGAACACAAAATATAAGTCTGTTATGGTTTAGGGCTTCAACTTTTAGTTCTTCACTCAAAATACCAAAAACTGACAAACTAGTCTCATTTTGAGATCGATTAATTTATATTTAGATGTGACTCAAGGCATATCTCCAAACACATACAATGCTACAATGTGAAGATGTTTAGTTTCCTTGGTATAATAAAGTTTTGGGTGAGACTTTGCTTCATAACTATGTTTACCAACAGCTAACTGTAAAATGGCCAATTAAGGTCACATAAATTTTCTAACCCAGGAATAGATTACCTAAGCTGTATTTGACAAACCCCTTCGGAACTTTGGTTCTCCAATGCTCTTCAATTACTTTACTTGGCCTTTTTAAATTTATGGATTCGAGCGTCACTTATCAGTCTTTTGTAGACGAAACGCGCGTCTGGCGTAGAAAATTGTAATCCTGGTATCTCTGATGAGTTGGTGAATCATTTCAACATATTTATAATGTCATATTAACCTCGCAACTGACTTTCGGGAAATGAATAGTCCAAGTTATTTCAACCCAATCATTTATCAGTGAACTAATATAAATTTGAAAGGATCTTAAAATTTTCTTATTGTTTGTATTAAAAAATAACATACATAACAAGAAAATAATAGCTCTGTCATCAAAATATATACCGATATTGCTGTTTATTTGGTCTCGGATGCATACATATAAATGACTTATTATTGTTGATAAAGTGGCTTTTGATATCAATCATTATTTAACACAGTATATCAAACAGTGCAAAATGGATGCCAAACCATTTCTCATATATCATCAACACTTTGATGCAGATATGAAATATCATTGAAACGATCATTTTCTGAAAATTAAGTTTTCAGCTGAAAGCAACGAAAGCCGTGGTCAGATTTAGCTCAATTGTTTGAAGTATAAGGTTTAAGTGATAATTGCAGTTTTTAATTGATTTGGCCCTCTTATTGTATTGATTCAAGTGCCATTGATGATCCCTATGTAGACTAAACGCAAGTCTGGCGTACTAAATATTACACATTGTATTTTTGATAAGTTTTTGTTTACTATGGTTACAAGCATTATATGAGTCCTATGGTAACCATCCAATGTCTTTAACAGTTACGTAGACAAGCAGACTTGATGTTTCTAAATACCATCTCTCTTTAAAGAGAATATTACAAAAATAATTCTAAAAATGAATAATTTTGACTTATTATGATTACTAGTATACTTATTATGATTATGTAAATTTAAAAAAAAATGACACATTATAAATGTACAGAATAAATGACGACGTCAATATAAGTGTTATACAGCATAACTAAAACTATTCTAGACTTCATTTTGTAAATTAAAACAAACATGTTGTTGTTTCCTCATTTTAGCAAAGAACATTTATTCTCTTACCAGTTTCGCTATATGAATTGCACAAATCCATGGAACCGAGTAAACTACATTTGCGCCTGACATGTATGTTTGAGAAATTGGGAAGAGAATAACTAACCCAGAGCAAATAAATAAATTAAAAGAAACGTAATGCAAAAAAAAAAAAAAAAAAAAAAAAAAAAACAGGGTCCTGATATTTCTTCATGGATTTGCTTAAATTCGGAGACTCAAATAAGATGAAACAAGTTTTCCAGTTATTAGAACCTAAATATTAATTCAGAGAAAATATTAACTATGTTTTTATGAAAATATTCATAACTTAGATTATAAAACATCAATCAAGGAAGAATGAATGTTTAATCCATAGAATGAAGAGCTAGTGTGATGGATTTCCTTCCCGTTGATATTTTACCGGGTTTTTATTGTATTGTATTATGATACCGACACGAGGACAATGTTACATAACAGAAAGATTAAATACATGCAATTGATGTTAACACAAGTATTGAAAATGGTTAGTTGAAAACCTCACCAGTATATTTGTCTGTGTGTTTTGTCTTTACAAAGACTTTGCTGTTCATGACAAAGTGATTGATTCTTTATAAACATTGAATAACATAAGTTTGAGCACAAATTTGTTATCTGTCATTCATTGTTATATCACACGAGTCTTGTAACTCGAATCTTGATATTCGAAGGATACTGTTGTTTTCGTTAAGCAATATATATTGAATTAAAAACAAATTGCTCGGAGATCAATTGAAGGTCTTACCACATTAAATTTCTAAATAATCGAAAAGAGGATACTTCCTGTTTACTCAAAGTTACTGATAGCTCCCAATCATAGGTTTGTTCATACTGATTCGAAAAATATATGGTTTATATACACTTTTACCTATAATAAGGGAGATAATTTGCTTTTTCCTGTTTTAAAAAGGTAGCTTCTGGTCTCATGTGATAGTTTTATTCACACTGAACATGGGACGGTGATGCAACAGCACAACATAAGAACAAATTGTAAAAACAGTTGAAATTGTCTTAAATCGGTACAATGCACAAAAAAACTAACATAAAAATAATATACACAAAGCACAGAAATAAGACTACTCGCAGTTGCTGATAGCTAGTTCAAAGACCATTAAAACTAATCAAATAATTGTAATATATCTTAAGTAATGGCGTATATGAAAATCAGATAATTGAAAAATAGAAAATACATGTAGAATAGAGTTGTTGTATTGTTACTGATTATTTGGAAATTCTTTGAACTTTTCTTCAATTAATGATTTTACCATTACAATAGCGCAACTGATTTGTTTAAAAGCTCCAAGAATGTACATAACAGAAAATAAATGCCAGCAATATTGTTGTATTTAAAATCAGATTAAATTGGTCATTTCAAAACAGTAAAAAAAGATAAAATAAATGCCGACCTTTATTGAATACTAGTAGCTTAACTCTATTGATTTGTGCGTCACTGATAAGTCTAATAAAGACGAAGCGCGCGTCCGATATACAGTACAAAATTATAAGCCTGTTATCTTTGATGAGTTTTACACGGTTTTTCTGTTGTCTAATATCGTTTTCCAATATTTTGTTTACCTGCGTTGCGTTGTGGAAATCGATGAGATAAATTTCCAAGTGCTTCGATAGTTGTATGATTTAGAAGATATATAGTTCAGTGAACATTTTCAAGCTCATAAAATTATGTTATTGGTTTCAAACTTAGGTTGAAACTCCTTATGGAAAAAAAGTGTTACTACGATGGCGGATGTTCCGTTTAGTTCCTTTATGGTTTTGTGCAATCAAACGTGTTATATTAGTGGTGTGGTTTCGATCGCATTTGATATTTCGGAAACACAAGTTACATGGGCGCTAGTTTGTCGGAATTTTTCAAATAGATACATAACAAAATATGTGTTTCCTTGATTGGAAAATGTATCCTTAATACGAGTTCAACAACTATCGCCTAATATTATACAGGAACAAATATTTTAAACGTTTGGACAGTTAAAAAAACGCAAAATCAAATTAAACTGTTCTGAACCCCCCCTCTAGAAAAAAAAAAACAAAAAACAAATGTGCTTTTATTAATTCAAACTCACACGAAATGTAACTGTGTGCAAATTATATTTTGGAGTAATGCGCCCTCCCCTTAAATACGATATGATGTTTATCAAGAAAATGTTGAAGCAAGTAAGAAAACCGTCAAGTCTTCTTTTGTGCCATTTGATATTTATCTTGTTTATTTCATCTCACTTTTTTCACGCATTTTAAATCCCTTAACTTAAATTATATTTCAAAAATTGAGAAAAAAAATAACCCTGAATATTTCACAGCGCAAAAGTCAGGTAGCACACCCATACCGGTAATTACATGTCAAGAAAGGCCCACAAGACAGCAACTATTACTAATTTGATCATTTACAAGTTTGATTGAAATCAATATAGACCAAAAGGTAAGAAATGTTGTTCCATCGAAGCTGATCCGCGATATTGTCTTTTTCAAAACTGATAAACAGATTTTAGAAAATGTTTGCCTTGTAAAAATCTGTCCAGTCAAATTTCATTTGATCTGCACTATAACATTTTCAATTATATACATGCATATAAATTATATCAATATTTCAATATCTATTTAATGATAGGTATCTTAAAAGTAAGTGTAAATTTTTTTCAACACAGAAGCTTTACTTTTAATTGCCCTTATTTGACCCTTAGTAAATTTCGGAAACCCAATTTAACACCAAACATGTACTATCTGTTACCTGCAATTATTGTGTACACAAAACTTGAGCATATTGAGATTAACTTGCAATACATATGAAAAACTTAAATACTGTTGACTTACCCCCTTTGGTATATCTAAATACAATGGAAATTATAATCAAACAATAGACAACAGCGATCATTTTCCAATTTTTTTATCGGCAACATTCATTTAATGAAAATATTACTTCCTCTTTCATTTATTGTAATGCAGGGAAACAATGATATGTTTATTCCGTTTCGCATTGACTTTTTATTGGAAAAAGATCGTTATTTTATTTGTTGTGCACTTTCAATTTTGTTAAGTGAACAATGACAAATAAGGAGATAAAAAAACCCAATTTACGGTTGATTTGCATATTGTGAATGAATGTATACGCTTTGAACATCGGTGACCTACTGTTGTCTCTAATTAATGAAAACAACCTTCATATTAAAAAATAAATTGAAAAAAAAGGTTAAATGCGAATCTTTGTTATCCAAATTTACATTATTTAACAATATTTTCCTTCCTAAAACAGGAAAAATGTAAAATAAAAACATATAAAATGAGGAGGGTTATATTTTGGAAGTTTTGGTTTGCAATGGTCTTCATCTTCGTATTGTTTTTAGGTTTTTTGGGGTTTGAATCAGCGTGTTTGTTTTTTCAAAAGGATGATTGATTCCATCCTGCAATAGGCTATCCAGTTTTGAAGCACAGTAAAACTAATTAAACATATTATAGAAGATGTGGTATGATTGCCAATGAGACAACTCTCCACCAAAGACCAAATGACATAGAAACTAACAACTATAGTTCCCCATACGGCCTACAACAATGATCAAAGACCATACTGAATAGTTAGCTATAAAAGACCCAGAAATGGCAAATGTAAAACAATTCAAACGAGAAAAACTAATGGTCTGTCGTTTATTGGTGTGGTTCATAAGTGTTTCTCGTTTCTCGTTTTTTATATAGATTCGACCGTTGGTTTTCCTGTTAGAATGGTTTTACACTAGTCATTTATGGGACCCTTTATAGCTTGCTGTTCGATGTGAGCCAAGGCTCCGTGCTGAAGGCCGTACTTTGACCTATAATGGTTTACTTTTACAAATTGTGATTTGGATGGAGTGTTGTCTCATTGGCACCCATACCATATCTTCCTTTATCTACTAATTAACATATTAACACATCTTTTTTAGCCACAATGCTATCTAAAGCATACCATTATCTCATAGGATATGTATAGTGTTTTGTTTTAGGGAAGATTGTTTATTAAACCTAATTCAAATGACTTGTCCTCAAATGGAGCATTTCTGGTATTCTATTACTTAATAAAGGCAACATTAGTATACCGCTGTTCAATAGTCCGGGCATTTTATGCTTTACTTTGGCATAAATAAAACAACTTCTTTTCAATTAATAATTTCTTTTGAACACAAACAAATGTATGCTTACAATAAATCAACAGAACAATCAACAGTCAAACTAATTCATCAACAAAATACGGACTTATGCCGCAATACGCAAAACCCAATAACTGGTTAAGGAGAGACAACTCTCTTAAAAGTAACCTTACTTAACCAAACGTCTTGACCATACCAAAGAGAAATATAACACCCCCCCCCCCCCCCTCGCCCCCCAACAAATTAATTTACCCCGTTTGTTTTAGTGGTCAAGGTGCTTTTATTTGGTCATTAAAAAAAAATCGTAAATTCAATACTTTCGTAAACATTCATGCCTATTATTACGTCTTGTATCTATTATTCAAGCAACTATCAAATGTATGCATACTATACTCAAAACCCCTGTCTACTGCATATTCCACTATAAAATTGTTTATACAGAGCAAACATTTATATATCGTGACACCAGCAGAGACCTTGGCTCTTATTAAATGGATATTGAGAATGATATACAAAAGAAAAAACTTGCTTGATGAAAATAAACACACCAACTTTGTTTCTTTGACAAAATTGTAAAATATTTCAATTTACGCAATCTGGGATTGACTTAATCATTGTTTTATGCTTCTTTAAGTTGAAAAGATTTTTTGTTTTACTTAGTTATAAACCATTGTACATCTTGCTTCTGTTTTGGGGTATTTCTGAGGAACCTTTCATTCATATTGTAGTTTTAAACGATAAAGTATGATATATAGCTGTAAGATAAAGCTTTTCTTTTCTGTCCTTTAAAATCAAAACTATTGCGTCGCATATGCTCCCATTTTGAAATTATTACTAAATAACAGTTAGTTCTGATTGGTTCACGAATTATACGTGTAATATTTAGTTGGAACGGTAGTATTGAATTGTCGGAATTTAGGTTGATTCGATCGATAAATATGCTTCTAATAACACGATTTATTTACTCGCATTACTACCGATGTATGATTTATATGTTTTAAATATCATATCATAAATCATTCCATACATGTGGCATGGGTTTTGCTCATTGTTGAAGGCCGTACGGTGACCTATAGTTGTTAATTTCTGTGTCATTTGGTCTCTTGTGGAGAGTTGTCTCATTAAATATTATACCAAGTTCGTTTCTATGTATGTTGGCGTTTGTTTTTGTTGCACTTCAGTGTTCCTGTTGTTCCTTTGTTTTCCTCTTATAGTTGATGTGTTTCCCTCGGTTTTAGTCTGTAACCTGGAATTGTTATCTCTCAATCGATTTATGACTTTTCAACACCGGTATACTACTGTTGCTTTTAATTATATACCACATCTTCTTATTTTTATATGTAATTATATATCTCTGTTCACTATTACGTTGGGTGACTCGATGCTCACTGATATGTAACTATTATGTATTTATTTGTTAAAATTGAATTATCAAACTATTACATTATACATTTTAGAAAGTATGGGTCAAAACAACACTTTATAAAACCCCCGTCGAACAAAAACAATATACATGTCGTCTACATTGTAGGTGTAATCCTCCAAACATGGTAAATTTAAAGAATCAATTTATAGGGAAACATGTTACAAGAGATCCGAAAATAAATTTCTTCGCCTAATGAAAACTTAAATTGTTCAGTTTAACCATTTTATATAACATTTTCCTTAAACAGTTACGTGTTTGTGAACCTCAGAACAGAACATCTCCCGTGTTAGATCCAATGTGTTTAAAAAAATATTACAAATAATATTGAAGCAGAAACTCAAATAAAAGTATCCGAAATAAGTACGTCAAAAAAATTAAACTGTCGTCGTTTTCTCTAATTAACGAACAAAAAAATCAAAACAGCAACACAGAACAACAGCTGACGGCAATTTATGATTCTGCGAAGCACCCCATACTTTTTGGAAAGGTTAAACTAGTATTGAAAGAAATATGCGGCGTTACAAAACTATAATGGTTTATGCGTTGACGCAAGAAAACAAGTATTTAGTTTGTAACTAAAGTTTAACAACGACCATCTGAGTTTGTCCATCCAAGTGATGTTATTTAAGCCAACCGCGGCATTTCATATCCATCGTCGTCAAGATTTTGGGGCATGTCCAAGTCTGTGATTTTATCGTACTTATTTGTGTAAATTTCCGAATAAATCTGTGGTTGTGGAAGTATGAATGAAGTGAAGAGCTTCTGTCTTGACCGGCGCTTGATGCAAAACCTAAAATAGTGTACTTTGATGAATTAAAAAATAAAACAAACAATATTTTGTTTATTCCGGTTACTACGCTTTGTATCCATAATGATATCATTTAAAATTTATCTCTAGAACGTTCATTTTGAAATTGAAAAAAATCTGTCTATATGCATTTTCAATTTTATTTCCCATGATGGTCTTTGAAGATAATTGCTGGTCCTCAATATTACTTCTATTGCAATATACCAAAATTGTGTATGTCCTTTGCAAAACTTTGTTGTTCAAAACCTTCGAATTACTTTCAATATTAAGGAAGACAAAGTATTAACACGTATAAGATTGCTAGCTATCCTTGCATTGAATAACTAAAAATAATCTTTAGCTAGTGATTAGCATACAGAATCTTCCATTCATTTAGTAATAATTACATTACATGTATGTTTCATTATTATACGCTATTTTGATTGGCTAACAGCAATCTCGCGTCATTCTGAAATTAACCTTCAATGAAATGTAACATTCATAATGACACGAGCTTCCACAATAAAGTGCACAGGTAAATAAAAGAAAAACTTGGTGGAGATCGTGTTCTCATGATCTTATAAAAAAATGTAATCATAAGTATTGAATGCTTCTTTAGGTTATTTTATAGGATTGTAAAAGCGTTGACCGCGCTTCATACAAAATGTACTTCGGTCAACGCTTTTACACCCCAATAAATTTACAAAAAGAAGCATTTAATTCTTAACACAATTATCCACAAGTCACCGTAACGTTTAGCATAAAACATTTATTCGAGGTAAGCTACTTGTCTACGAGTACCTTTTTCTTTTAAAACACTCTATCTATTGTCGTGAGAAAGTATAATTAATATAGGTTTTCTGTGAATAAATTATCATATTTTTCAAAACTTTTCTATAAACTCTACAAAACAAATAATGTACAATCGAGTTTCGAACGCACTAAATTTGATTGTTTTAATTTTTTAACATTGGACGGAAACTCATCCCAGGAGTCAGCGCTTAACCATTGACATGATTTACATCATTTTTGTGAATATTCCGTTTATAAATAAAGAAATAGATAAGAGACAAAAGTTCCAAGTATATCAGGCAAAGTTAACTCTAGATGGTTTTGACTATGATGTGTATAGTATATGCCATAGTTCCCCAAGTATTTATACACCCTTGATTTTCATAAATTTGGTTGTGAGCGTTCCTGATTAATTTTCGTATTGAATTAAGTGTGGTTGCAATTATTTCCAGGACGGGAAATACAGATTGTGTAAGTACGAAAGTATCAAGCATTCATATCAACTGGAAGAAATATAATCCGTATGCAGGCACTGCTTGAATGAAAAGTAGTTTATTTTTAAATGATTACTTACGTTGTGCTTGCAATGATAACACCCAAAACGAGACAATGGACGCTGCATAAATATTTAACGTAGTTTTCTGAAAATTGATACGTACAAATATTTTGTTTAAAGGAAGAAATTCAATTGAAATCTTACAAAGGATGCACACTATGATGAAATGTCGAAAGATGTCTATAATTCTTTTTTTTTATTTTCATTTCAATTGTTTTGAAACAAAATTGATACAACAGAAATATATGACAGACCCTAGTTCTGCAGAGATAAATAGTTATTGGTTTTGACTGAGTTCCATTTGGTTAAACTTAACAGAAATAGACAAAAATTTAAAAACAGTCATCTTTGGAATGCAGCTCTAGTAAATGGGATAATGTTTTGAATTGCAACGTATCTTTTTTATGCGTTCTATTCGTATGCGACACCTAAAGTAAATAAGCTTCAATGGTGTTATATTTAAAAAGAGGAAAACGTTAAAATATTTACTAAATGCTGTTGTCTGAAGATGCAGGCATATCGGAGCCTGTGGTTGTCATTGGTTCATATCTATCATATTTGTTTTTTCGTCAATTGTTTTGTTACAGATTTTAGCCTTTAGTTTTTTCAATTGAATTGTTTCGTTTTATTTTCATGTCGGGATAATTTATAGCCGACTATATAAACGGTATGGGTTTTTTTCAATTGTTGAAGGCCGTACGATTGCCTTCATCTTCTTCATTTGAAATTTGGTTGATAGTTGTCTCATTGGCAATCATACCGCATATCCTGTGTTATAAGAATGCTGTTATTAGCCATTTTAATCATGTTGCTTGTTACAAAAATGTAATTATTGTTGTTGTTGCTGTTATGTTGCCCCTTTCAGTGACATACACTGCATGCTTCAGAATGAAAATTAGATTAGGTCTCAAATAGTATTCTTTTGCCTTATGTATGGGTACATGAGAAGGTACATCGAGCGATTTAAGTTCCTCTGGAAATCGAAAGATGTTGGGAAGGATAAGAAACTCATAAACGGGTTTGTACTAACATGATCAACACGACGGATGCTACATGCAGAGTAGGATCTGCTTACCATTTTGAAGCAACTTGGATCTACCCAAGTGTTTGGTGGGGTTACTGTTGCTCAGTCTTTAGTTTTTCTATATTGTGTTCTGTGTACTGTTTGTCTTTTTCATTTTTTAGCCATGCTTTTGTCAGTTTATTTTCGACTTATGAGCTTGAATGTCCCGTTGGTATCTTTCGCCGTTTTTTAACTACTGGACTGGTTCATTTCAAAGATTTGTTGATATTTTCTCTTTAATTTGCTAATTACCTTGCACCACCGGAGATAGACTATATATGCACTAGATGATGAAAAGGCCTTCTGTCGAATCAGGAAATTCAAGACAGAACAACTGGTCAAATAAATCATATTTTCCTTTACCATTGCTGCTAATAGAGATTTATTTTTGTTGTTGTCGAACAATTTGTATTTCAACTTGTTCTAATGCTGGAAAGATAAAGTTCTTTTTTGTAGGTTACTGTTTGTAACGCCCGTTAACGTACAGTGTGTACCACATGTTAAAGTTGTACACTAAACTCAAATTTATACTTTGTCAATAATTCATACTAAACTGACCTGTTGAATTATTAACTGCAGCTGATACAGTTTTGTTAGCCTGGTTATCTGCAACTTCGCTGAACGTGTATCGTGGCACTGTTGAACTATTCATATGAGACAAACAAGTTGTTGTGTAAGCCTCATCATTCCTCTCGCTAGATGTGTGCTGTCGCTTATCTGTTTGATTATGTAAAACAATAACTAAATTAAATTAACACATTTCAATGCATGCTTAGAATCTTTGTAGTTATGATTAATCAACTTCCTGCGATCGCCTTTACAAATCTAGTAATATTGCAATATGAATGCTTTAAAACAGATTTTTAGACAATGCCTTCAGATGACGATATATAGATATATCACAATATTTAAACAATTGAGGGGCAATATATAATATCGTTTTTCATGCACAGGATATCCGGCCGTGGTGTTAATGTTAATATATTGGCTTGTCAAATCTATTGTAATGTATGGTACACTTTTAATCTACACAAAATGTTAGACTAAATGCTTGTGCAATTATTTATTTAAAATTGTGATTTAAATATGTGTATACATTTTTGACTTAGATAAATTATAAATATGAAAATCTATATGAATTGGAAACATTATTCATTTTAACTTTTAAATTTAAAGATAGGTCACCGTATATACTGATACTGGTAGTGGTACACTGTTACACGTATATTAATTACAGGCGCATTTTTAGAACAACTCTTCATTCATTAACTGTCTACCAGCACATAAAAGTAATTTTGAATTGTATCCGCATCGACAACTAATTTATGTTGTCTTTTAAGAGAGTGGTCCCTAATATCAACTAATAAAGTACTCTAACAGATGTGTGATCCAGAATAAAACTACAGTTAAACAATATTAATTTGCAAAAAAAGAAATAGGTTTCTTCTAACATTATCAATGTTGTCTGTCTCATATACCGTTATCGAGCAAGACTTGGAGGATATCAAGCCATTATATTAATTTAACAAATCAAATGTCATAGTTGCTTCTCTAATTTGTACGTTTACTAAAAACAAATAAATAAAGACAACAGTAGCATATTTTAATACTTACAACATAATGAATACAATTTACTCTTGCAGTTTTCAGTATCAAATCTGTAACCGGATTCAGTAATTACTAACTTCAGGCAAAACGCATCTATTGGTAAATAATCTAAATGATATCAACATTTCAATTATTATCTAAGAAATTATAGCTGTACATGTACTAGCTGTAGTTACTAAATAAACTACACTGCTTTGAACGATCTCATATGCTTTAAACTAAATTAAACATGTTAATTCTCTTTCTGATAACTTAAAATTTAAAAGAAAGATGTGAGCGAAATCAAGCTGAGAATTATTTGATATCTATAATTATATGGTATCAAAACGAGATGAAATAACAATTTAATACATTAAATGTTAAAAATAAATAAAACTCGGTTATAGATCAAGAGTGCACACGCTACAATGTCTAGCATTCTTTTCTGATTCTGATCTAATTTTAGTTTGAAAGTATTTGAGATCAAACATCAGGTCGTTCTATTACATGTATAGAATTAGTTTAACGGTATCAGTGATCTAATAAAATGTTGTCATGGTCAGATAAATTTTTCTCGTTGACATCAGTGTAAAGCTTGCAATTATTCCAAATTATTTTAATACAAAACAGAATATATAGATTGATAACAAGATACGCAGTGTAATAAAAAGTCATTGAACCAGAATGATAAGTAAATGTTAATGACATACAAGTAATAGCATTTTTAAAAAGCTTGCCATGTTTAGCTTATTAGGTTGAAAAATTGTTTTTGCCTTGTATTTTATTTCATTCAGAATTTTGCTCTACATATACATTGTAATGGCGTGAAATAAGTGGCATAGAGGAAAGGCCAATATAGTATTTTAAGGGTTACAATTTAATGTGTGTACTTTGTCATGTTTAACTCCTGGACAGAGCTTAATTTCTAAATCACGTGCGTTTTTGCCTTTACTTATTTCGGTAAACTTTTTATATGAATCAATGTTTTAGCAGATTGTTTACTCTCTGTTTGAGAAAAGTTTGACCAAGATATTTTATTAATTGTCCCGATAAACCACACGTTTTAGATTCTGATTAATCTTTATTATACCACTAATGATTGTTCCTATATTCTATTTAAGAAGGTTCCAGTAGTGTATAAGGGTACACACATAGTTACCTCGAACAAATGTTTAAGAAGTAAATCTGTTTAAAGTCGGTCAAAATTGACAAATTGGCATGTAATGAAGTGAAGTAAATACACTTGTGACTCTCTGATTGTTACTTTCTTTCTTTATATTTGTTTTATTGTTAGTTGTTTTCTTAGCTTTCTATCACTCCGATGAGTTAATTCCTTTTCAACTGGTTTTTACAGTTAGTTTTTACATAATAAAGAGAATATAGGGTATACATCCAGAACACAAATTCATTACATGCACTGCAAAAACATAAAAAGCAAATGAACAGCGCTTTTAAGTAGGTATGTTGCAGTTTAACACCACTTTCCCAGGTTTGGGGTGTGTTGGGTATCCATAAACAAGCAATATTCGCTGCGTGTCTGTACCAAAATCATGAGCCTGAATTTCATTGGTTGTCGTTTGTTGCTGTATAAAGTTAATTCATCTGCTTTTGTTCATAAATAATGACATGCCGTTAGTCATGTTTGTTAGTTTTGAACTATTCTACATTTGTCAAGTCGAACCCTTTTATAGCTTTCAATGCAGTATGAGTATTTTTCATTGTTGAATGCTATAGGGTAATGTAAGTATGATTACATCTATGTCATTTTGTCTCTGGTGGATAGTTTCTTCATTGGTAATCAGACCTTATCTTAATATTTTTATGTTATAAAAAAGTAAAAATAAATAAATGTTAAACTCCAAGGAAAACCCAAAACGGAAATTCCCTCACCAATTGACAAAATCAAAAGCCCAAACACATCAAACGAATGACATGGTACAGGCATTTCCTTATGTGGAAAATGGTGGACCATGCCTTATAGCTAGCTAAACCTCTGACTTGTATGGAAGTCACATATAATTCCCTTTTATTGACAGCAATGTGTGAGCAAACCAAACAAACATAATAGGTAAACATGTAAAAAATTGGGGTATAGCAGTCAACATTATGTTATAATCTTAATCACTATATAAAACATGAAAAAACAAATAACTATTTCAACAAAGAAAAACAAAAATGACATATGGACACTCTATAGACAAAGTAACAGCGCAAAAATGTATATTGATAAATTTGTCCGTTCGTTTGATGTGTTTGAGCTTTTGATTTTGCCATTTTATAAAGGACTTTTCATTTTGAATTTTCCTAAGAGTTCGGTATATTAGTTTTATTACTTTTTTCTCATGTCAACTGCAGATTTGAATTTAATATAAAACTTACAATAATTGATTAACGTACATCAAAGATATTTTAACTTACTGATATGGTGGTATACTGTTCAAAAAATGACTGTCAATAAATATTAAAATACCATTTGCCCACAAAAAATCTTTCTGCAATGTGATTACCTATCCAAAACATATGTTCTCGTCGTCGCACACACATAGACGAAAAGCTAAATGAAGTGTATGACAGAAGCTGTGAATCCTGTTCTTTACACTTTTGTTTTGCAGTGTACCATGCTGCAGTTTCATTAGGACACTTCTCTTTATATGATTGATCTAAATAGTCATAACATATTACTTGCCTTTTTAATATAAAAGATTAAATACAAAGAGCTTTTGCTATTAGCATAAAATGGTCATATCGGGTTTTCTTTAAAGTGATATGATGAATATGTTAAAAATTAAAAGAATTGTTGGTATTTCATTGGGCCTTGCTTTTATTGCTATTGGTCAACTCATAACAAAAATATGTTCAAAACTAAGATATATGTTGTATAGATTGGCATTTCATTTAGCCACCATAATGCAGCGATTACATTCAGTAAAAATAAAACTTACATACTTTTTTTCTTTGCGGTGAAACACTTTTAGTCTGACAAACTTATTAACATACGAAACGTTCCAAAACTTGTATTTTTGTGCACTTTGCTACACTTGCAGTTGTTTAGTAAAACTGGAAGGAGTCAAATGGTTATTTTTTAACACAAATACATACCTATACGCTTTTAAGAAGTTTATTTATTGAACTATAAATTTTTCACAGAACAATTGGAATCAAAATTTCGTTTTAAACTAAGGTAAGACACAATAAAAAAATTGTTGAACACGGCTTGTGGCTCTAACATAATAAGTACACTTTTAAAAACTGTATATAGATTTTTTGTGTCATAAAATGGTTTTCGGATTCTCATTAAGATCCCATGTGCAAAAAAAACCAAAACTATAAGTACTTTGTCACGTCCACTCTGTGACTTTGTTAGATGTGTTTCTCTTTGTGTCCATCTGATGAGTTAAGCCTTTTTCAACTGATTTTTATAGTTTGCTCTTATGTTGTACTGTTACACCACTGTCCCAGGTTTGGGGAGGGATGGCGCCTTCAGACATGTTTAACACCGCCACATTCTGTATGTGCCTGTCCCAAGTGTGGAGCCTGTAAATCAGTGGTTGTCGTTTGTTGCTGTGTAACATATTTGTTTTTCGTACATTATTTTGTACATAAATGAGGCCGTTAGTTTTCTCATTTGAATGGTTTTACATTTGTCATTTCGGGACCTTTTATAGCTGACTATGCTGTATTGCTTTGCCCATTATTGAAGGCCTATAGTTGTAAATTTCTGTGTCTTTTTGGTCTCTTGTGGAGAATTGTCTCATTGGGAATCATAACACATCTCCTCATCTCTATATCATCATAAATACCAGGCTTAAAATTATGTACGCCTGACGCGCGTTTCGTCTAAAAAAGTGATGATCGAATAAAAAATAGAAAAAAAGGTCAAAGAAAGAACGAAGTTGAAGAGCACTGAAAACCCCATATTCCATATATATGTATAAAGCATCATAAACCTATGTAAGAACCAACTTGCTTATGTACCTCATTGATGTTCTATATGAACAGCCCCCTTTTCAAAAGTTTTTCTTGGTTCATTAATAACCTTTATACTTTCTTTTTACAAAACTAAGCATTCAATTTTTGTCTCGTTTTCTAAAAAGAGAGACAGAAGATACCAACGGAATATTCAAACTCAAAAGTCGAAGATAAATGTTGTATATCGACATTTCTTATCGCACAAATGTTGAAAACCATAAGGTCGTATGTCAATTGGACAGTGATTACTATGGTTCCAATTTTAACTTTAAATCTTTATAAATGTCCAGAAACCACAGTTAAAGTCATCCCTTCGACAATATTACGGTCGCAATCACGAGTTTGTTGACCGTTATGAAATTTCAGTTTCACAGATAACGACAGATATGTTCCAATAGTCTTTACCATAACCCTGTCGTCTTTCCTCGTTGTTAACGCCACCGAATCAGAAATAACACAGAGTTTATATTTGCATGAGAAACAAGATGGGTTTCACAAGTAGAGCAGGATCTGCTTACCCTTCAGGACCACCTAAGATCACTTCGTTTTTTTTTTGTGGCTTCGTGTTAATCAGTTTGTTGTTCTTCTGTTTTTCATATTTTGCTTTGTGTGTAGTTGTTTCTGTTTTTTTTTTTCGTTTTTCCAAGTGTTTGCCATTGCATAGTCAATTTATCATAGACTTATGAGTTTGAATATCCTTTTAGTGTCTTGCGCTTTTCTTCTTCGTCTATATGCACAGTACCTCTTTTTCAATTAGTTCCTGAATACTGCTTATATTTCCTATTCACATTAATAAGCAAGGTATTCATTTATCAATTAGAGGTAATACAATGTAGCACTTTACTTTAGAAAAAAATAAGTCCTTTACGGTATTTGAAACTACTGATTTGAATAACATTAAAAGTATGTTTATCACAATAGTGTAAAATATTCAACAAACCAGACTTATTATAGCTTTGACAAGAAAACATGTGATTGTTATTGCAATTTGTGTAACTGTATTTACGGTGCCTGTTGTTTTGAAAACGGTATTCCAAACCTTCATTGCTGACATTCTGCGTCCTAAAATATAATAAAATGTGATAAAAATTAGACATTGAACACTGATCTTTAAGAAATTATTCCGTATATTGTAGACTACAGGAACCAGATTCGAACGGAATCATATGAAGCTACTAAGAGCGTATTCTAATTGTAAGTATCAAACTTCATTTCATTCAAATCTTCAAGTAACATAATAGTTTACAAATGTATGAAAAGTTGTGTACATGATAATTGATTAAGTTTGTAAAATAGTCTCGCCTTTTTTATCATATGTATGAATAATGAATATTTCTCAAACCATTTCCTAAATAATAATAAATTAATAGTAATAATAAAAATAGTAAAAATAATTGAGCACTAAACAAAACTGAATGTAAATGTAATACATACTGCTAACTACTTCATAGACACTGTATAGCTCCTCTCCGTCGGAAGACGTAGCACTGCCGCACAAGTCTCTATTAATTCCATCGCAAGGATTCTTGCAAGCACCAGTGTATTCTTCTTTTTGTTGCTGCTCTCTAAATTTATGCTTAGGAATACATAGACATTCACTCTCCTGTATCGAATCGTATACACATAATAAAGTACTATTTCAGTATAGTGCAATGCATTGTTCTTACAATACAAAAATGCAAAATAGTATTAACAAAAATACCAAACACCAAGGTAAATTAAAAAAAAGGGAAGTCTATAAAACCTGGCAAAATGGAACATCAGACTAAATCAAACAACGGTGCAAATGGCAAACATCAAGGACAATATAATTTAATTAACACATGTATTCAATACATTTACTTACATGCTGCAGTTCGAATATAACTATTAGGTAGGACCGATTGGAAAATCCATGACGTTATAATGTAAAGAAACATAAACATTTCCATTTTTAAGATACAATTGAATTTTGAGTATCTTACCCTCATAAAGATATGGTTTACTGTTTCCAGACATGCCCATGAGCATTTGGCGGCAGAATTTTGTTCAAATAAGAAGCTACCTCTATGAAAACTATTCTTAAGACTAGCATTCAAACTGAATCATCCTGCAAGGAAACACTATTGTCATAAAACTATAAAACAAATCAAAGCTTTGCTCATATACTAAATAGTCAGTAACATATATTTTGTTGACGGCAAATGACATCTTTTACACAGAATTTTCATAAACAGTCGATTTCGGCAATGTCCCAGTCGGAAAGTTGAGGACAAGATTATGGTTGCGACAAGTGAAACGTATTCGTAGCTATATATGAAAATATGACTCAAAACGGTAAATAATTATTTATTCATTTGGAACAGACTAAAACTATCAAAGGGACGACTTCAATTTTAGCTTCCTAGTAAGGAACAACCCCCTTTCAAGGAAACTATATTAAGAAACACAAGCCCTGGATTATTGTATCAACTGAGAGACATATACACCGCATACAGGCGCTGGTGGAATGTTGCTAATAAATAGCTCACACAAGGAAAATTGAAATCATCGCTTTAGTCGTAAAGGTTAGTCCTCAACCGACCCTAATTTTGAATTGCTAGATGCTAGTCAAGATAGGTGACATACTTAATTTATACTTAAAGGAACACGAGGAATGTCGATTTTCCATTGAAAAAAAACGTTCTCCAAATGTAACAGACATGTTGTCATTAAACAAATTGCATAATTTTAAAAATGTTAGAGTGAATATTCTGCCGAAAAAAGAGGGTTATTTTTATAATGTATGATTTACCCGATTGATTAAGATATTTGTATTTGTTTTTCCCTAAAATGCTCAATACTCAAATGCTCAAGTCATAAAAAGGGGGTACCTAAAAAATAACTTTTTTAGTCTGTTCCAAATGAATAAACAATTATTTACCTTTTTGAGTCATATTTCTACAAAAAAAGGAATGAAAACAGAAATTAAACAATTACTTGGATAACATTCATCAAGTCCAAGAGGGAACCATAAAGTCATCAATGTCTCCTTTTTTCATCTTCGTATTTGGCTTTATAACTGTTTTGATTGGAGCGTCAGTGATGAGTCTTTTGTAGACGAAACGTACTTGTGGCGTACACAATTATAAGCCAGGTATCTTTGATGAGTTTTTTACACTATATTTATTGATTACGAGCAACGCTATTGGTAAATCGACCTTAACGTTAACAAATTCGAAGCTGGACAACTGTTTCAATTTAAGGTATGAGTAGCCACTTGTTTATTTGAGACTATTTGAAAAA